CCCCCCCCCCGGGTGCCGCCGCGCAGTGAACTCTCAGCGGGGTACTCGACGCGGACACATCATTGGTGGCGACATTTGCCCGTTCTCGTGCGACGTACTTGCGCTACGATGTAGTAGTTTTGTGTCGCATTGCCGCATTGCCTCACCCACCGCGCCGAGGGTCACACCGAAGCGTTAAAAGGGAAACGTCGTCGTCCGGGCAGAGTATTCGAACCCACGGCTCTATACGCGTGACGACACCATTGTGGCTCGCACAATAGGCCGACTGGACGCTGGATCGAGCGAGCGAGAGAGTCCAATACACACTGCTGCACAAGGCTGAGAGCGAACTGCAGAGACTCTGGCCCCCGCCCGCCCCGCCCGACCGGAGACAACCCATTCTCTTTTTGTTGAAATATGGGAAAAAAAGAACGAAAAATAATGTGCTTCGCCGTCGTTCGCGCGGCTCCAGTAAGTTGCCATGGGAATGCCGCGCACCCTCTCACCATCTCTCTCTGTTCGTGCATGACTAATATGGCCAGTGCAGAGAAACCCCTTCGCCCTCTGCTCACCTCCCTCCTTTTCGGACCGGATCTCACGTCCCTCTCCCTCGCAAACAACGCACCACACAACACTCACACACGCTGCAGGAATGCGTGCCGATCAACTGCACACACTGCCTCCCCTATACCTATCAATGGTGGCGTTGTGGTGGTGTAAATGGAAACAAGAACACGGCTTCAGCACAAGTCTTCTCGCTCGCTCGCACGCTCGGTCACCCACTCACTCACTCACTAAACACAAGAACTAGAGCAGCAACGACAAGCTTAGCGTCCTCGGTGACGGTGGGGCGGAGTGTTGCAGCACGGCCCGACCACACCCCCCGCCGGGCAGGACCATGCGGATTGGAACGCTGCTCGCCTTCTCAAAGTCAAGGTTCGCGGCCCCCGCGCTCGCCTGTCGCCCCGGGGGTCCCGCCCGACTGGACCGGGACCACCGCCTCCGCGAGACAGGCCGGGCCGGACGGACTAGCGTTGGGGCGTCACGGGGGGAGAACTAACTCAGGACTATGGGCGTCGTCGCGGGAGTTCGGTTCGCAATAAAACACGCACCAGCAATTAAAATCACAATCTGCTCTAAGCAGGGGGCCAGTAGTAGCCTGACGGGCCGGGCTGTGTTGTTCTGTATGGTTTCATCTCTCTTTGGTAGTCCTATGCCCAACTTTCAGGTGCCCTATGAGTACCTAAGCGAGGTCTATGACGCGGCCAAAACTGTCCCGTCCCACGTCGTTTGATCTGTTGACCCGCACGCCCATAGTGAGGCAACCCCGCCCCGCCGCGCGCTCTATTGACAGGGGGGCTGCCCGGGCCGTCGTCGGGTCCTTGCCCGGGGCTCCCGCGCCTTGACCTGCCCTGTCCTGGGACCGCGGCGGCTGTCTCCACACACATAGAGCCCCGTGGCGGCGGTGGCATCACCATAGGATCGCACGGCACGCCGCGTGTTGTTTTCTTCGACCGGTCGCCATCCCAGTTGTAGTTATGTATCCCCCAACTTTTTTGCCCGTCGTGTGCGCTCGGACGTGTGGTTTTCGTTTTTCGCGCCGATCTCGACCGACACCACCGGCCGGAGAAAGGTCTGCTGCGGCGGCACGCGCCGGGCTCATTGTGGCCGAGGAAGGAGTCGTGTTTCCGCGCGGGGTTTAATGATCCCAGAGCGAGCGCGGCGCCGGTTACACTGTGTGCATACACTGCTTCGGGCACATCCGCATCGGGGGCCCGTCAACTATCTCCGGATGTCGGGTGACAGAGTCGTTTTGAAGTGGGCGAAAAATGTTTCGAAGCTTGTACTTTTGTTTTTCGGCGCCTATGAGAGTCGGGGTAGGCCGCCCCGCAATACACGCATGCACTGCAAACGAGATTTTGCCTACCCAGCAGGCGCTATGAGAGCTTAGACAGGCTGCCTTTGGCAGGTTCGCAGCGGAGAATGACGGGTGGACTTTCTGAACGATGCCTTATCTACTACTCACGCCTAGATTGAGGAACACAGCAAACCTTCACTTCCGCTCCAGCTGCCCTTGAGTGTACTTTGTTTCATTCTCCTCCGTCCTGAGTATTTTTCCAAATTCGCTCAAACCAAACTTACGACAACGTTATTGATCGTAGATCTTACACATGCACATCGTTAGTAAATTGGATATTCGGCACCTTGAGTCCCAGAGAAATAAAGAGGGATGGCGTTCCCTCGCAAGGCACAGCCACCATGTGCCCACGCGTGGTACTCAACGTGTTAAAGTACTTTTACAGTGCACTGGACGAATATGTAACCCGCGCGCAAAAGGTTCGACTTTTGTGCTGTTTTGTAACCACTCAAATCGAAGTGATGAAGCGGACTGTGTTGAATGTTTTTTTATTTTTAATTTTTTTTTAGATGCCCTGCCCATTGCATGATTACTGCTGCTGAGTTCCATAGTCAAGTATTAAATGAAAATGTTGCTGTTGCAGGAGCGGCAGCAGTGCTGCTGCTGGCGCTGGTGGTCAGCGGCGCGGAGGAGGAGAAGAAGAAGGCAGCGGAGCCCGCCGAGGAGAGCAAGCAGGGCAAGGAGCTCATCATGCTGGAGCTGGAGAGGGTCGTCGACTCGAGGGACAAGCGGCAGACGGAGGGCGAGGCCGACTTCACGAACAAAGAGGTAATTAACAGCTTTACAGTTAGGTAAATTGTGAAAACCGAGGTGAAGCCCTCGGAAAAGCACAGAGTAACAAGTACATTATTCAAGAGAGACTTTGGACACTCGGCGTCACGGAGTGTGGTGAAAGGGGATCGCTGCTGTTTGTTTGGTGCGAATGGAACCTTTCGGTCCAAGGACATGCATGCCCTGCCTTTCAGGCCCGTGACCCGAAAAACCAGAACTGGTCCATTCAACTACACTGAGTCATGTCGGGTCGGGAGCCACGCCCGTCGCACGGCTCAGCGCAGCGCACATGCGCCGGCCGGGCGCGATACCTTGGCCGCGGCCACCCTAACAACTTTCCAGCTTCTCGGGTAATCAAATGTTTATGCAAACGACACGCGGCGTTGAACTTCCGCGTGCGTTGCGCGATCACAGATTATATTATTACTATTATAAAGTTAAAAGGTAGTGTGGGGGAAATAAAAAAGCGGTGGTTTGAGGGGAAAAAAGGAGTCTTGGTGCAATGTCATGATGCGGAGGCGAGCCTTTATGGGCAGACCTGTCCCGCCTACCGGAGACTGCCAATAGGCTGCCGATCAATTAGAGACAGGCGGAGACAGTGCAGAGGGGGAAGAGCTAGGCGGAGAACGGGACGGGGATGTCGCAATAGTTGAGCCGGTAAGTGTGAGGAGAGAGGGGAGAGGGAGAGAGAGGTGAGAGGGGGAGACCCGATACAAAGTAGGAGAGTGCGCTATTCCCACGGTGCCTGGTCTGTCCCGGTGAGGCGTGTGCGCGGGCCCCCTCAGAGGGGCGAAGAGAGGGGGATTTAGAAAGATATTAGAAAGATATTAGAAAGATGTTGATTACATCAATAATCCTCAGTAGTGTTGTTCATAGTCTCATCTCCCATGGTGCGGGTTTTGGCTGCAGATACATTCGCCTTTGCCTACAAAAATGTGTTTCCAGGTGCCTCCCGAATACCTGAGCCTGCTGCAGCAGCTCCAGGGCGCCGAGGGTGCTCCCGGCCCCGCCGACGGCCAGCCACCGGTGCAGCAGTACTACATCTCCAGGTGAGTTCGTTTAGTCAGTGTACCAAATAGTTGGGCGGACAGCTTGGCAGCGACAGCGACAATACGCCCTGACCATGCAGTGACTCAGCTTGCGGAGCGGTCTAACATACTCTGCGTTGGTTTAAGCTTTTGACCTACCCCGTGCTGGCCGACCGGCCGGCCCCGCCGGGCTACATAACCGCAGAGCCACGGCGGGGCGGGGCGGGACTCCGAATCAGGTTAGGCGGACGAGCTATCCGGATACGCCCTTCTTCTTGGCGGGAAATGTCACTCGCTACTCGGAGTATGTGTTTGGTGTCACTTTAACGGTCTGCAAAAAAGCCTGCTACGCCCATGCTTAACAAAGCATAAGCATAGCGACATTTTAAGCAGATGATACCTTAATACATCTACACAAAACAAAAAAACATATGCAAACGTTTCTTTGTGTTTTTCTATTTTTAAAAGGCAAAATTATCCGATTTAAAAAAATTACACTCTTTATCAAACCCAACAAATTCTAGTGTCCACGGATTTATTTATTTTTGAAAAAGAAAATTATCATTCTACCGGACCGTATCTCACTGCTTAAGTCCAACATTCTAATTTGTCTGGAAAGCTCTTTCCTCAAAGCACAGAGACGCTTGATCTACCATCCGTCTTCTTTCGACATCGGGGACGCGTCGTTGTTTCAGGACGGTCTCTCAGTTTTACATCTGGCGTGCCGAGTCGTCGTTCAAGAGTATATAAGCTAGTGACGGCGGGCTGGCGCGCCACCGCCGGGGCTCAGCCGGCCAATCAGAGTGAACGTCAAAAGTGTATTCATGGCGTTAGGGGGCGGCGACATTCTGAATAGGTCACAGTCTGGCGGAGCGGCGAGGAGCGTACGGCGGGTACGGCGCGAGGGTTCATAATTCGTGCAGATGAGAGTCTGCACCGGCCGGCCGATCCGCCACAGCCATGCAACGTAACGCACAGGCGGAGTCTCGCAAAAGAAAAATAAACGGATCAAATGAATTCAATTAGTACGCGAAGGTCTTTGCAGAATTCATAAATAGGAAATTAGCCGAAATTAGCCCCTCTTGTATAGAGGGAGTCTTTACGGGACTGCCTGGAAATATTCTATATCCAGGCAAAAAACTATTAGCGTTTTCGAAGAACGAATAACGAGTTGAGTCGCACAGCTGCTTGGACACCTTCGATTTACAGTTTAGTGCATGACCTGACCAAACATCGCCAACAGGTCGAGCAGGCGCGGTCCCAGCCGAACGGAGTTGGCGGCGCAGTGAAGTGGAGCTGGCAACTCCGTTTGGCGGAAGAGTGTGGGCCTGCTCGTTTCTTCTGTATGTGATCTTATTTGACAAATGGTCCACAGCCAAAATAATAACACCTCATTTCTGATAATTTCCTCGTCAGAGCACTTAGCTAACCACCTGCAAAGCACAAAGTGACAAACTGACTGTCCTGCCGCAGGACTCCGTCCGGGGTGATCTCTGGTGGGCCGCTGGACCGGTCCCCGCAGCGCTTCACCCCGGCCCCCGGCGAGCCGCGGCCCTTCCGCCCCCGCGACCCGGTGCTCAACGCCATCTCGCGCCAGAACTCGGAGCTGCAGGCCGAGTACCAGCGCAAGGCCATCCGCGACCAGGAGACGGTGTTCCTCGCGCCGCGCGGCCCCGTCGGCTCCGACCCTCCGCGCGCCGGGCCGCTGGCGCTGGCCGGCCTGTACCGCGGCGGCCAGCCTCCCCCGCAGCCGCAGCCCGGCCTGGGCCCCGTGCCCCGCGGCCAGTCCCTCGGGCTCGCCGCCGCCCAGCCCCAGCTGCAGGCCTACGGCGCGCACGACGCCCGCCTGAGAGCCGCCTTGCAGAGTGCCGACGTCATCCAGTCCCCCCAGGTGAGGTGACATCGGGCTCGGTCGGCCATTTCGTTTCATCCGTTTTGAGTCTCGTGCCAAAATCCTCTCTCTGTGCTTGCCCGCAGCCTCAGTACATCTCCCCCCAGTACGTGCAGCAGCTGCAGGCGCGTGGACTGGCCGCCCTGAGCGGTGGCCCTGCCTCCGAGCTCAGCCTGGTGCGCGAGGCGGCGCAGCAGCAACAGCTGCAGCTGCAGAGTCGGCAGCCGCAGCCGCAACAGCTACAGTTGCAGCCCGTGCCACGCGCGCAGCCCCAGCCCCAGCAGCAACCCCAGCCCCAGCAGTTCATCAACTTCCAGGTGCGTGAGGAGCGGGAGTAGTCTTGACGCCCTCGTGGATGATAAAGAATGGACCACAGCACGGGGCCCTGTAGTGCCTACCGTCATTATCCATGGTGCCTAGTGTGCATTACGGTCCCGAGCGACCAGGCAATCCCCCGGCAGGCGTTACAGGACATTTGAATAGATGAAATGGGCTAATGACAACGTATTTTCTAGTCTCTTTGCGGCTCACTTTTTGAAGGGGTTATTTTAAATCCCACGTCCGTTACATTTTTGTATGCGTATATACTTCAATGTCAACGCAATTGAAATACTCTAATTTTAAATACTCTATTGTTTTTTGACAGGAGCTGAGTCCAGCAGAGCAGAGATTCGTCCAGCGCCAACAAGAGCAGGAGACCGCACCGCCCCCAGGACCTCGGTATGTGCTCCAGCCTGGCTCACAGCAGCTGCAGGCTCAGATCGCCGCGCAACAGGTGCAGGAGTCCCCGCTGCAGCTGGCGCAGAGGGAGCAGGAGCAGGCCCAGGCTGAGGAGCAGTACTTGCGCGAGACCACCCCCGGCGGTCCCCCTCCGCTGCCCCTGAACCCCGTCCGCTCGCCCCATCAGCTGCAGCTGCAGCAGCAACAACAGCAGGCGCTGCAGCAACAGCTTCAGCAGCAGCTCCAACAACAGCAGCAGCAAGCGCCGCAGCACACCCCCCGCACCGTGTTGCAGCCCTCGCCACTCTACCTCCAGCAGGTGCAACAACTTGCGGAGCAGCAGTCACTGGCCCGCCAGCAGATCGCTGCTCAGCAGCAGCTGGCTCAACAACAGCAGCAGCTGCAGCAGCAGCCCACCGAGGAGGTGCAGTACATCAGGCAGCCCCAGCGCTACGCCGCCCCCGCCAGGCCCGCCCCCGCCCGGGCGGCCCCCGGCCCCCAACTCACCACCCCTCGTTCCTCCATCTACGTGTCCACGGCCACGGCTAGTCCCGTGTCCCGCGCGCCCGCGCCGCCGCAACAGCCCCGCCAGTCCGTCACCCTGGAGCAGCTGCTGGCCGCCGGCGCCGAGGAGGTCGACAGCGGCTCCAAGCAGGCTGGTCTGCCCGTCGTCCGCCTGCCCGCCAGCTCCAAGACTCTGAGCCAGACCGACCTGCAGCAGCTCATCGATGCCGGCTTTGACGTGTCCCCCGTCCCCGAGGCCCGCGACCCCACGGCAACGGCGTATTACCGGTCGAGCGCGGCCGGCGACTACCAGGCGCAGCAGGCGGCCGCGCAGAGGTTCGCGCCCATCGTGGTCCCGGAGCAGGCGCCGCAGCCCCGGCTGTCGGCACGGCAGCGACAGGCGCTGCTGCAGGCGCAGGAGGACGCCTACCTGCAGGCCGCGCAGCAGGCGCAGCAGGGCCGGGGGGTGCGCCTCGGCAGCAGCGGCAACTGATCGCAGCGCAGCGGCCAAGAGTTACCACACCTGCCAAAATAAATGTCCACGGGGGCCAAAGACACAATATTTTATCTCATACGTCAGGCACATTCATGTTCATGGTACAAGCTGCCTTGTAGAAAGATATTAGAAAGAAGGCACATTCATGTTCATGGTACAAGCTGCCTTGTCTAAAGTCCACTGCTACCTATGTGTCAGACATACATTAGGTGTTACCGCAGATATATACATCCCCCCTGCTCCCCCACGAGCCATAGCTGATGTCTGATACACGTGAGAGTTACCAACACCAATTGCCAAAATATTGTTAATATTCATTGTAATTAGCTTTTGTGATCTATTTTTGGTGAACTGAGAATTGTTAGACCATTATTTTTTGTTACGTGAGTTTTCGAGAGAAGCCGGTTGCGTCCCGGCCTAAGTTATCTTAGTACCTACTTTTGCGTTGGGCCTCCAGCTCACGCGAGTCGTTTGTGCGCGTGAATGTGAGTTTGTGTGAGAGAGAGAGTCTGAGTGATGTATGTTTTTTTTTTTTTTTGTATTTCCTGTACATAATAAGGAGAAAAGTTACCATAGCGTGTAAGAACCGTCCGGGCACAGAAGACTTGTGTATTTTTTTTTTTTTTTTTTTTTGTATTTCCTGTACATAATAAGGAGAAAAGTTACCATAGCGTGTAAGAACCGTCCGGGCACAGAAGACTTGTGTATTTACCTCAGGTGGCGAGCTGACCAAAGAAAAAGAATAATGATACAATTACACTCTGTTTTTGTAAAACTTGGCAGAAGCGCGTTTTCCACAAGTCCTTTGCGACCGACCTGAGGTAGATGTTGTGTTTATTGTGCAAACGGATCAAGATGTATTATAGTATGTGACTTTTTAAAAAAAATTGTCAACGACATGTAGGGTTTTTGTTTTTGTCAAAATAAACATCCCTAGCTCAAAACTCTATCCAACTCGTGTTTCCTCCTTCCCTTCCTCTGCGCACATCGGTCAAATGTTGCATACTTCACCCTACGCAATTACCTCTTCCATAGCCAGATCGGATTAAGCTGACGTTATTGTGGCCACAAACCCATTCCGACCATTGAAGTGCCCAAAGACTGCGGTGGAATGAGCAAAGTATTCCCCTATTTATTTATTTTTATTTTTGTCCTGGTGGGGGAGGGGGGGAAGGGTGCGATCATAACGACGCACTCATTTCTAAAGTTGGTTCGGATAAAGCTGCCCGTGGCCGTGTCGGTTGAAGTTACAACTGTGTAGCTGCAAACAGGGACGTGGCGCCCGCCCACCCGCCACCCGCAGACGGTGTGTGGCGAATGGGCTGCCTATACCGCAGGCGCTATAGGTAGGTTGGAGCCGCAGCTTGAGCCGCAGCCACTCAGCTCCACCGGGCTTTTCATACCATAGGTCGTGTTTGACTAGCGAAGAATCTGGTGTCTCTTAAAATGATGCTTCACATTCAAAACCATTGGCGTAGAGTTCATATTGAATCATTGTGTAAAAATGTCGAGACAGATCAAGGGCCTATCCAGTAACATGCATCCTACATCCTACATCTATGTTGCCAGATGTTGCAGTTGTCGTTTGTTTTGGTTTGAAATCGCCCAGTTCGGTGAGCGGGGAGAGGTTATGTGACAATGACACGCCCGTAAATGCCCCGCGACGGCCCCGCGAGGTCGCGAAAATTATTCTAGAGGGGTAGATTGCGAGTTCGCGAGGGTGACTCGCGAAGGAGTAACCCGCGAAGTCGCGGGGGTAGGACGCGAGGGGTGACTCGCGAGCGCTGACGGGAGATCCTCGCGGGGGTGACTCGCGAGGTCCTCGCGACAGGACAGGCCGCGGTGCAGGTCCTCACGCGGTTTTCGCGGCTCTCGCGACCTCGCGGGGCCGTCGCGGGGCGTTTACGGGAGTGTTGTTGTCACATAACCTCTCCCCGCTCACCGAACTGGGCGATTTCTGACCAAAACAAACGACAACTGCAACATCTGGCAACATGGTTGTAGGATGTAGGATGCAGGTAACTGGATACAACCCAAAAATAAGCAAGCATCCATGTCTACCAACGTTAAAACAAAATAATTTGAGGAGCGATTATTTCTCGTTTTGAAGGGTATTTTTACAAACCGTTCCAGAGTTGACAATTTCACTGAGATTATTAGTTCTTTTTGTTTGCCAGAGGTAAAACAGTTGTGAGTATTGTGTAAAATTGTGTGATTCAATTTTATCGTTATGTTGGGATAACTTTCGCCCCGGCTGTTGCCAATAACCAGCAATAAAATATTTTGTGACTTCAAGACTTTTCGTTCTTACCCACGATCTACAAAATATATGTGTTATTCGAAGATAGGATTAACACGTTTCAATGATATTTTTCATTGAAAGTTACTGAAAGGGTGAAAATACTTAAGTGGAAGATTGTTTAATAGTTTGGCTATGCTGCACTCTGATACAAACAAAAGAAACAAGAACGAGAGCAGAGCAGAACAAACAACATCATAAACAGCTTTGAGAGAGCGGCTTTTATCTTTACTGTGATAATTTAGAACAATAAAACCAAAATATTGAACTGTGGGAAAGCAGGCAATCGAATTTCGTTTTAAATGTATCTTTTACTACACGTTACTTGAAATGTCACTTCGCGGTTCTTGGAAAGAACTGTTCACTGTGGGGAAATGGGAAGACTGTGCTCATGCCATACATCAGGAATTGAATGGACATAAGATTGTTAATGATGTTCAGCAGCATTCTCTTCGAATCATTCTTGAAAACAACAAATTCGTCTGTCACCAGCTGGTAAAATAGTTCTGTTTGGAAGTCGTGGTGTTTCTGTCCTGATCTACTTTCACATGCAATTGCTTTACTTAACATTCCCTTGCAGAGCAAAGATTGGGATTCCTTTCACATTGAGGATATTTCTCGTAACTGGGCAAAAAGTCATAGCACCATAACAGAACTATTCCACGTTACACATTGTCAGCATACATGTTCTAAGATACCTCTCAATGTTCTACTGTGTGTCACTTCGAACGCCATGTGGTGGAGTATTATGAAAATAGATCCATTACAACAACATTCATGTAGTAGAGAAACTCTATTAATGGCTTCTTCTACCTTGAAAACTGGTAATTTCCAAGCATAATTTCTTTCTATTTTGTGTTCTGTGTAAATTCTAATACACACGTGTCTTTTTTCTTTTGTTTTTTCTAGTGTCAATAACTTACGGAGTGTGGAATGTATACCATCATTCTCTTGGATCCGTAGAAAATGACTTTTTACAGGCAGTAAAGAATATCTCTCCATATCTGCTCAAGCTATCCCCGAAAACATGTTACCTAGCTGTTGAAATCATAGTACTGGGACTCTTAAGCTGGTTGAACGAAGAAAGTCTTTTCCACCAACCCTTAGCTGAATGTCTGAGTATTTTAGATGAAATTAATAGTATTTTGCCTCAAATAAGAGTTCACCTTTCAAATGGTAAGTATGGTGGTTGGTGATTACGGTACCAACCTATTCATTTGCCTTTAACTATTTTAATTATTTATATGCACTTCTATTTTCCTTGGTAGATTCCATTGATACAAACTTTGAAAGTGAAGACCTTGTCAAATTTGGGTGGCTAGACAATGGAGAATTTTTAAGCAAAGCAAATTTAACTGTTATTACTGAGGCATGGGTTATTGTCGAAACCTTGATTTGTCTAAGAGAAAAGACTGACAATCCAAAAAAGAGTAACTTAAAAGCTTTGAGCTATCTGAAGTTAGTTGATCTAGACAATAGCAATTTCTCTGCTCTTATTCATTACATGAAAGGTATAAAAAGCATGAATGCCTATTTTAGCTTCTGAATTACTGTGGCCATGAACGTGATAATTATTATCTATCTACCTAACAGCTTTTGCCCACTTCAATAATGACAATTTAGACAGAAGTTTGTGCCACCTACAGCAGACATCTTTTTCTACATCAAGTCTTTTTATGCAGAGTAGAGTGAATACACTAAAAGGGCAGATTTACCTCCTTCAGAACAAGCCTACCACAGCTTTGGAGGCATTACAAACTGTTGACTATAAACACAAGGAAGTCCAAATACCTTTAAGTGCATATCTTATTACAAAAGCTTATGGAAAGCTTGGAAAAGTCAGCCAGCAATGCAAAGCACTAGCCTTACTATCTGAGGTGAGGTATATTAAATTATTGATTATTAATCAATCATTGCAAGATTGAATTGTCCTATTTTTCTGTGAAGTATTTGTCAACAGAGTCATCTGTGCATCCAATACTTCTTTCTCCAGTATCAGGAATGGAACATAGAATACTTCTTGACGTGCATTCCCAACCAGAAATAAGTTATGATGAAGTTTTGCGTTCTTCTGCAAAAGCACATCTTTCAAATAATGTAAGTTTTAGCACATTGTATTGTTTTATGTTCTATTTAACTATACAATAACTCATAAAAATTCAACTGTGCAGCAACCCAAAGAGGCTGCTGAAAAGTTGATGGAGCTCCTTCACATTAATAGTGTCAACTTTGATTGTGTTGGAGACAAAGCTTCCTTGTGGCAGTTGTCGGAGCTCCTCCATGATACTGCCGCTACCCTCCTTGAAGCCCAATCTGCTTATGATGCTCAGCAAGTTTGTGAAGCAGCCGTTCAATTCTTCTCAAGCCAACCATTATCAGGTAGCACACACAAATAAGGAGATTATCTTGTAATTATCTAACTCACTACTTTCTTTCCTGCCACTGTCCTTTTTTTTTTTTTCAGATGAATCAACTACTCTCGGCATTGAGTCAATGAAAGAAGACATCATAGCTCTTCTTTTACTTGCCCATGCAAAAGACACTCAACATTCCAGTGATGTTAATAACATTTTAAACAGGTTTCCCATCTTTTTGAAAATCTCTTTTCATACTTTTTAAATATAATCTACTACCTAATGCGTCCTTCTTTTCATTGTAGGTGTGCAAAAGTACTTCAAGACTTTGTTGATAAAACTACGAAAGATCAGGCTATCCAAGAAGAATCAGTACTGCTATGTCGGGCATTACTTGCAAGGACGTACTTGCATAAAGCAATACTGAATCTTAAAAAAAAGTTTTCAGATGATGCTGTTGCCTGTTTTCAAAGGGCTCTTAGCTGGAAAACTGGTTAGAACTGCTTAAAATATACTTATAATTAGTGAGTCATTATGAACTTGTCTTAAAAATTAATTTCTTTTGATATGCAGATGATCCTGAAGTTATTCTTCACTTTATCCATGCTCTTTTGGAAAATAATAAATTCGATGAATGTTTGGCTTTGTGGGAAATGTACAAAGATGCTGAAAGATCTACCCAAAATAAATCAGAGTCTATTGCTATAAATTATCTCCTTGGAGACCGAATGGGTATAGACGATAGGGAAGAAGTAATTTGTCGCATACAATCTCTTAGCACGAGCTGAGTCCAAACCACAGTCTCATCTCAAAGCCGGGCAGTATAATGTTGTAACCATAAGTATTACCTCAATTATGATCATAAATTTACCAATAAACTCAAGACAAGTCAAATTAATTTTCAAATTTGTATATAATGACACCTCAACCCTGGGATGAGCCTTTACCCTGCAGCAACCCTGACATTGCTCCTGATGATGTACACTATTACTTGACACGTTCAGTGCAACTGTGCATCTAGGGGGTTGCATAAACCAGCAAAGCGTGATCACATTGTGGCCACGCCACACTGAACGTGTAAAAACGTATCAACAATAATACTACCCTACTTGCAAATGAGTGTTACTCGGTCACATCAAGAGACCAGGTGTTCTTGGTACCTCGACGCATTTTAGACAAGTATATTCTGGATACATCCACATGGCTGAGATTTATGCGCGCCGTGACGGGGTAGCGGAGACGCGGGCGCGGGGCGCGGGGACTCTCCGCTCGCCGGCTGGGCTGCAGCCGCGCAACAGAGGCACCTCGGAGGCGGCCCGGGGGCGGCGCGCGGCGCGGGCAGCGCTGTGCGTGAAAGGCGGGGACGGGGACGGGGGTGAAGGGCACGGCCAGCCCGGCAGCCCGGTATTGATCGGGACTCTGGGCGGAGCGAGCCGAGCCGGGCGCGGCAAGGTGGCAGCCCGGCCCCCGCCCGCAGCCACCCCCGCCCCGCCCGGCCGAACCACCCCCCACGACCCACCCCTTTGACGGCTCGCCTCGGCCGTGTCAGCTGGTGGGGGTGGCCCACCCGGTGGGCTTGCCTGCGAGTGAAAGGGACCGAGCCCGCGCAGCCAGTCGCGCTGTGGCCGGACGGCGGGCAGGCCGACCGCCCCGCCTCGCCCCGCCCAGCCCCGCCACGCCCCGCCGCCCCGCCGAGGAGCAGGCCGCCGCAGGCCGCGAGCTCGCAGGGGTGCCATGGGGCCCGCCTCGAGCAGGGACCCCGCCGAGGAGTCGGGCCAGGGCGACGACGGCCTGGACGACGAGGACGACGCGCAGCGGCTCAAGGAGGAGCTGTACGCGCGCGCCAGCGCCATCGCAGCCTTCCATCGGCGGGACACGGTGAGCTCCAGGGGTGGACGGGGACGGGAGGGGGTCAGACCGGTTCGACAGGGAAAAGAGGGGGGTGCATGTTCCCTGTTTATTCGCTAGCGCGAATCAATGTGTTACCTAACGTTACCACCCTAGCGTTTATGAAGGGTGTTCCAGGTGTTTGGAGCGGCGAGGAGAGGGTGGGTGTGGGGACCTCCCCGCGCCTGACGTTGTTATACACTGTTGGTTCCGGGGGCTACTTTAATCCTTACCCCATCATCCTAGCGGACAAAGGACAGCACCACTCTGCTCTGTGGCGGCGGCGCTACTTCGGCGTGCTGATGGGAACAAAGACAGGCCATCCAAGGGTGGGGGGCCGGGCCGGCGTGGCCACCGCGCCGGGGCGGCAGGGTCAGGGGACGCCGCCGCCGGTGCGTGCAAGGAGAGGGGCTGAAGTCCCTCGCGCAAAGCCCTCCCGGAAGGTCCTCCCGGAAAGCCCTTCTCAGCCCTCCCCGCCGGTGGGTCAGTGTGCCAGGAGGCGGGCCAGCAGGCCCGCGCGGCGCGACGGCACACCTTTCAAGGGCCCCGCCGCCGACCGGGAGGAGGGAAAAGGGCGGGAATGGAGAGGGTGGCGGGTGGGAGCGGCGGGGCGAGGCGCGTGTCTGCAGGGCTGCAGCAGCGGCGCCGCGCTGCACCACCATGCACCCCCGCCCCCCGCGCGGGCCGTCAGCCGGCGACGGCGAGATACCCAGCAGGACTGGTGCTTCACCCCCACCCCTCACTCCAGGCGAGAGGAAGGGGAGGTTACGTCGTTGTGTTTCACGGGAAATCCCGCGGGCGGGCTCTCCTTGTGAGAAATAATTGGACGAGGAGGGTGGTGGGTGAGAGAGCGCGAACGATCGGGCGGGGGTGGCGACTAACTGGGCTGGGCGGTCAAAGCGAGAGATTGGGCGAGGGTGGTCACTAACTGGGCTGGGCCAGACAAAGCGAGGAATTGGGCGAGTGAGGTGTGGTCACTAACTAGGCTGGGTGGGTGCCAATGCGAGCACTGAGAGAAATGTTTCGTTGCAGTGATAAAAAAATGTTCGATCAGTCCGGATTAGTCATGGCCATCAAAATTTTAGTCACAGCAACTAAACTTTTGGTTACAGCAACCGAAATTTCGGTTACAGCAACCGAAATTTCGGTTACAGCAACTAAAATTTTGATGCCTGTGACTAAGCCGGACTGACCGAACAAAATTTGGTCGTGGGTATCAAAATTTTGATGGCTGCAACGAAACATTTCTCTCAGTGAGGGACTGGACGAGGGTAGCGGCTAACTGGGCTGGGCATCAGGATCAGGGTCTCGGTCGGGGTGTTGCCACTCCTACCGTCAGTAAGTGCCCGCTCGGCCAGCCAGCCAGAGGTCGGGTCGGATGAAGGCTGGGCTGGTGGCTAAGTTGGCCTGGCTACCGGTGGCTGCCGCCGCCGATGCTGTCGACTGTCGGCCGTGTCACCGGGACACCGTGGGGAAGGGGAAGGAAGTTGAGCTGAGCGTGCCGATGCTCTCTGCATGCGAGGCGGGTGGTTGGGGTTGGGGGTTGGGGGTGGCGATCGACTCGCCCCGTAACGGAACGGCACACATCACGACGGCACGCTCTACAGCGGACCGTTACGACATATAAACGGATTCACCGTCTTGCTCGCCCCGACCCTGAACCCGTCCGCCTTGCTGTCACCAAATCCTCCTGTCTCTCTTGTATGCCTCCCCCAAGACAAGGCCAGCGCTTTCCCTGGAATCGGCCCTCTTTCCCACGCCTCACGACGCCCCGGAGCGGGGCAGCACAGCGGCGTGGCGTGGCCCCCACCCGGCCAGCGCCTGTGGGTAGGCCACGTGACGCTCCGTGCGCACGGGTGCGTCGGGGCCGCGGCTGCTGCCTACCCGCCGGGCGCTCTCACCCGCGACGGAGCAGCTGAGCTGCTGAGCTAGCCGCACGCGCGCCTCGCCCAGCCATCATGGTCACGTACACCGAAAGCTTTAGTAATCAATAACGCCCTGCCCTAACCTGACGACGAATTTCGCACGCAGTAACTACCACGAAAACGTTTCGTGATCCAATCTGACGGTATCCCCCCCCCCTGTCCGAAACGAGAAAGTTATCACGTGAAAAGTAGCACCGGAACAATAGCTTTTAACAGAGTTGGTTAAGGAGACAACAGGGAAAACATTCTCACCTTTCTTGTTTTCCATAATATGAATGTGCGCGTTGACAGTAAACGCGTAGGCGCCCGCGCCGTCACTGTAGTCGTAAGCCTGTGAACAGAACAGAACGATTTAACTGACTTCGTGCGATGTAATTTATGGTTCTCACAGAAATTTGATGGCATTCCAAGTTAAACAAATACATATGATTTTGGTAGGACAGGCCCTCTGTCACATAGCCAGATTCAGAACTTAAAAATTGATAGTCCTGTACTCAACTACCACCACTTCATGAAAACCCTGTGCTCCTCATTGATTCCGCTGCGGAGGCAAGTCATGATTTTGAGGGGGGCCGAATCGTCAATACGGGTTATGACCTCGCCCTTCTGTAATCATGCCAATTATCGGGGTCTCTGACCTCATTGCAAGCGGAGGGGTCACGGCGGCGGCGGCAGCTTTTGGTCCTGTACTTGTGACCCAGTTTATGCTGCCCGGTGATAGTCGGCCCGCTTATCACTGAGAAAGTGTCCGTGAGGGCGAGTGCGTCCCACCGGCCAGGCCCGGCCAGGCCCGTCTCGAGTGCTCTATTTGGCTCCGTTTTATGATCAGCTGTTCGGGACGGAAGGCTGCTCGAGGCGCCATGCCCGCGTCCGA